TTTGATGGCCCAAGAAGTATGCAGACCCAGAGGTTCAGTTTACTGGAAAAACCCTGTAAGAAGAGACAAACCTGGACCTTCTGCAAGGTTGTTTAATTTAGGAATGAAAAGGCAGGGTAGGCTGGCCCTGTCGCTGTGTTGCTCAACACAGAGGTTCAGGTTCCTTGACAAATGATGGGCAGTGCCTCCAAAATTGGAACTCTGATCCCAAAAGGGCCCTGTGTTATTATAACATAAAGAATGGTTATTAAACTGTCAGAGGGTTAATAGTTTCATCTTAATAATCTTGATAGATGGTGCACATTTCACCAGTGCTCTAAAAGCCCACAATGAGCTTTAAAATATTTTACTGTTGGTGTGTCCCTCATTTCCCAAGGAAGTCTAAGGAGAAATCTTCTTGCTAATAAATTCTTTATCATAACATAGCTGGTTGTCCCCTTCTAGAAGGGAAATATATCCTTTGCTGTGCTCTCTGATTAATTAGTCTAATTTTATCTGGAAAATTAATTCTCTTTGTTATCTAGGAAGTTACTTAAAGAGGTCTGAACAAAATCCCAGCCCATAAGTCTGATGACTTTATTAACTTATCACTTTTTAAGTGAGTTCTGTGTGAAGGATTCCATTCAACTTTGAGGGCTATTTTTCTTCTCTTCTCAGGATTTCAGGATGACAAATTGGATGTCAGATATGACTTACTGGAAGACCTTAAGGGATTCAGAGAGGGTAGCTTTTAGTCTTACCTCAAAATGTTCTGTTTGATGTCGCCTGTGAAGCTGGCCAATTTTGATCAATAAATCTAATATCTCAGTGATTTTGCAACAGGTGAAGTAGCTTTACTCTTAACTGAAGCAGTTCTTATTGATCTTGAAGTAAGAAAAAGTAATAAAATATGTGTTTATAAATATGCGAGTTGATCCAGTCATGGAGATTGTAGTACACAACTAAGTATTAAGAAAAGGAAATTCTTGGCAGTTTTAAAACATTATAAGCCAGTGCTTTACTTCTCTTTGCTTAGACTTTTTTCAGCAAAGGAATATGTGCAAAGCTGATGAAGATGTGCGAGCATCTCTATTTGTATATATATTGTATTTTCTGGTACTAACACATGCTGAATACAACAACTAGATGGAAGCACTCTGGTAATTGACTTATTCTGTGCTGGCCTCATCATTGACAGAAAGGGCAACAGTTGTCAGTGAGGTAGAACTGTAAAAGACAGAAACCCTCCTGCTTCAGATCATAAGACAATTTGCAATAGCCTGTGTTCAGGAAGAAATTTTCCCATAGGTTTATAGAATTGCAGAATTATGTTTGTTATAGAATTTCTTCTGCCTCCTGGGAGTGACTGTCTGATATGGCAGTTCTTCTACTGGGCAATCCTTTTTTCCTGACATTTGTTCCTGCACACAACTCCTAAACAAGATAGGAGATCACAGTGACATGTCCAGTGAGGTGGACAAAATATTGTGCTTCCTGGATAGATTTGAATTGTTATTATCTCCTTGGATCTCTAGGCTCGTGTTATTATTATGTGAACTAGAACTTCAACATCCATGACCTGCTGGTGATTACACCAGCAAAGTTAGTAACTTTCTAACCTTCTGTGCAGAATTGCCATGGCATTCCAAATATTTCAGCAACAAGAGAACACCAGCTCAGAATAGTTGAGGTTGGAAAGGACCTCTGAAGGTTATCTAGTTCAATACCACTTACAACAGCATGCCCAGGATCATGTCCAGATGTGTCTTGAATATCTCCAAGGTGGGACATTCCACAGCCTCTCTGGGCAACCTATGCCAGTGCTTGGTCATCTTCACAGCGTGTTTCCTGATGTTCAGACAGCACCTCCCATGTTTCAGTTTGTGTCCATCTCCTCTTGTTTTTGTCAATGGGCACCACTGAGAGAAGCCTGGCTCAATCTTCTTTCCACCCTCCCTTCAGGGTGGCGTAAACAACAAGTAATAGCATGAGAGGAAATGGCCTCAAGCTGCACCAGGGGAGGGTTAGATTGGATATTACAAAAAATTTCTTCACCAAAGGGTTATCAAGCATTGGAACAGGCTACCCAGGGAAGTGGTTGAGTTGCCATCCCGGGAAATATTTAAAAGATGTTTATATGGCACTTAAAGACTCAGGTTAATGGTGCACTTTTCAGTGTTGGGTTAAAGGTTGGACTCTAAGACCTTTAAGATATTTTTCAGCCTAAATGATTCTATGATTCAGGTATTTATATATTGATAACCTTCACAGAAGGCATCGAGGGACAATTTGCCATCTACTAAAGCAGAATAAGTTATGACAGTAACAACAGTACACTGTTACGAAAAATCCTATAAAGTTTGAAGGAAGACATTGAAAGATATGTGAAAGACTTTTATTGATTGCCCAAAAAGGTAAAAACAACTACAGGAAAAAAAATAGAAAATAAAAATGTTACAGATTTCTGTTCTTTGAGAGTCCTCATCTACAGTGCAGTGCTTTAAGTTTTAATGCTTCATGAAAAATCATATTAAACGCTCAATAGTTGTACCTAACAGTCTGAAAGGTATACTTTTATAAGATTAAGTGTATATTAGAACATGGAGAAGGCTGTCCATTATTTAATAAGTTCTTATATAGATTCAGGGTTCAGGCATAGCTATATATGACATAAACTAGAGGGGAGCACAGTGTGGGAGTGGTTGTGGTGCCATCTCCCTTATCATAAGAAAGGTGCACTGAAATATACTCGTGAAACACAAAGTCTGGACAAGTATCTTATGATAAAAAATAAAACAAAACCACGTGTATTATGCCCTTCACTGTCAACATGATAACTTGCAAGTGTTCTTTTTCCCACATCTTCCTGCTTTATTATCATCCAGTCTGGGCTAAATGGCCTGTGACAGATGAAAAATATCTAATAGTTCATGGGCAAATATCACACTCAAAATTAGATATATTGAGAGACTTTTGTAACCTGCTGTGCTGCAGCTTCACAGAAATGCAAAAGAATTTTTTTATTCAGTCTGGGACAAGTTTCCAGGTAGTTGATTAAATGAAATGCAGGATGAGTCTTCATCGTGTTAGACTTTTCTGACTGAAAGATTGGTTTCTCTGAGTTTTTATAAAAGGTAAGAGCAGTGGGTTAAATATGTAATGGCAGATCTGACTCAATACTGGAATAAATTTAATATAATATTCCTGGCATTCATGTTTCATTCCCTGAGTTTTTTGGAGGTATTTTCAGTTTTGGTCTTCAGTGTGGAAGTTGGATGCTTGGATCTCTTTAGCTCAGGTTGCAACACCTTTATGAATAAAACAAAAGTAGTACACATTAATTACAGCCCCTGAGTTTTGTAGCACTTTTCACATAATTGATGTGTTATTTATAGTCATGGTATTTATAACATGGTATATATATGATTATATATAATATTTATTATAATAGGCAGGGCATATTTCTTGGTTAGTGAGCTACTTCCAAACTCCCTATGGGTTAGGCAGATTCTTTCCTTAAATTGGTGCTATTCTATCCTCTCTATGTAAATAAATCCAGTGTTGGTTTTATGGTTGATGTCCCAGATGGCTCTGGGATAGATGTCCCTGATGCTGTGGGATGGCTTCTCTCTGTCAAAGATATTTGAACAATAATGGCATCAGTTCAGTTCTGCCTCCTTCTTATTGTTCCATTTAAATTATTAAATTTGGGGGCAAGAGTTAATGATATCCAAATGAAAGGATAAGATGGTTTAAAGATAAAGGTAAGGCAATTTTACTCATCTCATCTAAGGAGCTTGTGACTCAAAGGTGTGTTCTTCAGCTGCTCCTTGAAACATGATCTGGTTCATGAAATTCTTACTCATTCATTGATTTGGTTGTTGGTTTTCAATTCCATATATGATAACTGAGTGACTGTTACTTATTTTAAATTTCCTTTTATTTGACATGCAGAAGTAATTTTTATTGTCTTGAAGTAGCTGAAGTACATTTCTTGAAGGTAATGTAAGATGTGCTCTTTCTGCCAAATTTTAGCAGCTTGTTAATGCTGATCCCAAGGATCATGTTGGACCTTATCTCTGACAACAGAATAAAATTACAAATTGCTTTTACAAGAAAGTTAAGATACCAAGTCAGTATTTTGCAAAACAACTTGGCTTTTCTGAGCAGAAGCAGTTTGCCTTGCCATGCACCACTTCAACAGCCAAGCTCAGCTGTGTTTTGCATAGATTTTCATTGGGAAGATATAAGTCTTCAAATTTGGAATGAATTTTCACTGAATCTCAGGTTTTTTGACCAAACATATATCTGATGGCCAGTTCTGTATGGCTCATATCTCTGTTGGTCAACAGTTTGTGTTTAATTTTGTGGTGGTTTCACTCTAGGTCTTCCTGGAGACCAACTTGTAACCAGGAAGGAACTAGGAAAGTGATCACGGAAGTATTCCATGCTATTCCTTTACGTAACTTGAGGTATAAATAAAGCCAGCGGGAGGGATCTCTCCCTCTTCCTTTCCGGCGAGGTTCGAGAACGGTGGGTCCCTGTCTCGGTCTGGCTTATCTGGAGCCGAGGCCTACAGTGACTGCTGTTATCTGCCACCCGTGAGGGGAGAGCCAAGGGCCGTGTCTAGCCATCCTGCCTGTTCGAAGGGAAGTGGTGAGATTTTTGCTAGTTTGCCTTCGGTTGGCTGGTTGACTTGTTCGGTTCTTGCCCCTTTTTGTCCTTCTCCCTTCTCCCTTCCCCCCCCCCCCCTCTTCCCTGGAAGTGCTCCTGGTGTGTGGTATTCTCGTTTTGTGTATCTGTCTCATATGTAAAATATATATATATATATATATATATGCTATAGCTTTGGCTGCTTGGGTTTTTTTTCTTTTCCCTCTCTGGGAGGCGGGTCCTTGTTGTCGAGTTTCGGGGGACTTGGCGGGAAGCCAGCTCGAAACTTGCACAAATTTTTATTTTTTTATGTGAGAAAAAAGGATTATGTGCTTGGGAAGACAAATTCTCTGCTATGTTGGCATGGTTTCTATTCTGCAGTGGTTATCCAGCTGATTATCCAGAGGTGTGAGTGTGTCATGCAGCCAGTAGTGGATTTTTGTTAGAATTTCTAAAATGCTAGAATTTAATTTTTATCTATCTCATATGTGTTGCACTCAGGACCCAGTAAATGCATTTTTGTACTTCAGGATAACAGGTTAAGAAATATTAATCTTTACCTGTTAGATGGCAAATACATAAATGTTACTAACTATTGCCTATGGAAACTCAGAAAGGAAAGAGGATCTGTCTGAATGGCAGCATCCATCCTGGCCTTCCTCAAGGGGCTGATTTCCCAAAGCTGAGAAGAAATACATGGAAATTTGAAAGGAAAATGTAATAGAAAATGGTGAACCAACACTGGTGGTTAAAAAAAATAAATAAACTCTTAAACATGGCAATCTCTCAATTCTACAATAGAAAAGGATCATTTCAGTTAAAAGTCCATTCTGGAACAGTTACATGAAACTGTATTTTGTGGTATCTCTTGATTTTGGGTTATTGGGGAAATTGCAGAATTCCTATTTCAAGATGACTTTGGTGATCTGGACAGGGAAATTCATGTTACCATGATATCTCTCTCAGGTCCAGGATTGGGCTAAAGACAGAGAGTTGATTTATACAGAATTGACAGATTTAGATAAAAGTAAATGCAAGTAGAGGTGAGTTTTTTGAAAATTTCAGTCAGATTTATGGCTTTTTGATTAAGGACTTTATTGATATCCATCAATGGACTGAGACAAGGATGTGGAATTTCACGTAATATCATGGTTGCTTGAAGATGGAAAAGTCTTTGGATTTGTCAATGTGTCTAATATATTGGGAACTTGCTAGATGTGGAAGTAGTTCGCAGTGGGAGGCCACTACCCAAAACCTGAGTGGCATTTTTGGTGCATCTCAGTGTGGTCCACAGTTTTCAACATCCACACCCAGCATCTGGGAGTACTTGCACCCTTAAGGTTTATAAAACTTTTAAGTGACACATAGGGCATCAAAATGTTAAATGTTGAGGGCAAATGACAGTTTTGCAAATCAAGATTGCTAAGACTCCACTGACACAGAATTCACATTCAAACAATATGGATTTCAGTTCAGCAAAGTGTAGAGTACTAATGATTTAGAAAGAGTGAACAGTGGTGGAAGCTTTGAAATAGGGAACTGCGTCCTCACAAGTCAAAAAGAGCTGAGGTGTTGGCATCAGACAATCTCAAGCCTTCAATGGAAGGTTGTGTCAAAAAAGGCCTGCTGAGATCTGGGGCTGTTGATGAGAAACTATGGAGTAGGAGAGGGGGAAAAAAGGATTTTAATCTATGTGTAGTACATTGGCAAAGGCATTGTTGAAGCATTTTCCTTAGCTCTGGAAAAAATGTGTTTTATGTTAAACAATGTTATGTTATAACAATGTTATAAACTACAGCCAATGTAGAAAACAGTCTCCAAAATCATCCAGAGACTGGAGAGAACTTTTATGAATGAGAAATGCAAGACCAGTTCAGCCTGTGTAGGTATCAAAAAGATAACTGTGGGATGACTCGATGCTAATGTAAATTCCTTTGAGAAGAGAAATTGCTGGGTAGTAATGGGCTCTTCAAAGTAGCACAGAAACACACAACAGATCAGCCACTGGAAGCTGATGCCAGACAAACCCAAATGAAGCCATAAGATATAGTTTTAACTGTGCATATTGTTGTCACTGGTGCAAACTCCCAAGAGAAATGTTTGGCCTCTGAGTTGCTGAGTTTTTTTGAAATGATTGAATGCCTCTCTAGATAGCACCCTTTAGCTCTACAAAAGTTATTTGGCTTGTTTTGTTGGGAACTGGGTAAAATTTAGTCACATGTGGTACACATGATGTAATTCAAAATAATTTTTATGTTCTTGTCTGCCTCTAAACTCCATGTTTAAATAAAGCTCAGGTCCTTCATTTTGTACAGGCTGTCTGTATTTCTTCTTCTTATCTCCTACAAGCCTTACTTTCAGCCTCCAATACTTATAAACTTGAATTGAGGAGAGGTGACTCTGCAGCTGGCCATCCCTGAAGTGTGGCACAGTTTGAGGTCGGGCAGCTTGACCTCGTGAGCACACAAAGACTGTCCTGTGTCTGTCAGTTTTTGGTAACACCCAGAACTGTGACTATAAGGACCATGCAGCCCAACCCCCTGTGTCTGCAGCATCAGCCCTTCCAGCTTTAATCACTCCCCTTAGCCTTGTCCATAGGAAGGAGCAGAAAATGCCACTCAGCAAAGGCTGCGAGGCCGTGAAATTGTGTTAAGCGACGCTCATGAAAATGACCGGATTTGCTATTTTAGTGTAAGTGTCTAAATGTTTTTGAAATTGTAATTTTCTTGTGCTGCTGTGTGTAAAGGTGACCCCTGAGTGCTGGGCCCTTGGCAGTTTTCTCCAGACAGCTCATCAGCTTGATTCATTTGGAGGGCTAGTCAGTCAGCACCTTCTCAGTGGTGGCGGAGGAGGATTGAGCCCTTCCCTGATTTTCCAGGATATAAAGGCACGCACAGCTTTCTGAAGACACATTAGGGTTTTATTTTTGTGGCAGCAACACGTTCACCAGAGGTACAAAGATTATAACCCTTAATTCAGCTTGCTAGAAGCCATGCAGGAATAGGCAGAGTAGTGTCACTTGAGGAATCCTGAGCTTCTGCTGGAGAGACAGTTCTGGATGAATGCATTTCTGCAGTCACTGCTCTTCCTGTTTCTCTTTCATCTCATTTAAAATTGCAGAAGAGCCAAGTATGGTTTGTTGCAGCCTTTGGCCACACGATGGCACACATCAGTCAAAAGAACATTACAATATGATCCGAGGATGGAGAAGAGTTAAGGCTCTTGTTCAGGCCTGTGGTGGTCAGGACATATCCCTCCTGGCTGCTGTTTTGATGCACAACTGACCCCGGTCACAGTGAGGGACAGGGATGGTGTTTCTTCCATAAGCTCAAAAAATAAAAACAGAAAAAATTTTGAAGAACAAAAGGATCTGAAGCAGGAGCAAAAAGCATCTCTGGCAGAAAAATTTGGCCATTAAAAAGGACTGGTAGGAAGAAAACTTGGTTTTCTGATTATGTTATTTTGTCTTTTTATATGTTTCTCTTCAAAGGATTAGTAAAAATGCAGGAATTAGGAAATCCCTCTTATTTAATTTCTGAATCCTGAAAATTCAATGTGTTGTATTTTCTTTGTGAAATGTGTAGTGGGCAGGTTTTTTTTGTAAGTAGTCTGCTAGTAAATAACGTTCTTTGCCTTCCCAGTGGTAAGGATGATGACTGGTGAAACCATCTATGTGTACTATAGGATCAAAGTGATCTAGTGTGCTATCAGTAATTCAAATAGTGATTAATGAAAATAAGCCTCAGAAGTTACTATGACATTTATGCTTAGTTTATTACAGCTTCAGTGGTGTCAGTTCCTGCATCCTGCATTTATTTACACTATCTATAATTACTAATAAAACAGCAAAACTTTGTTGGTATAATAGCTCTCACCAGTTAATATCCTTTTTTTTTTTTTTTAAGCGCAATTTGCATAACAGAGAATTCCCAATTGAACAGAAAATGTGAAAGCATATTTCATATTAATTCTAGTGGTAGCAGCTAAAGACCAGTAGTCCACACAGTAATGCTGCATAAGAATGTGCAGCATTTGAATTAAAGACCAAACATCCAGCGGGATGTAGGAAATTAATACAGGAGCTGTGGAAATCTCTGTGAGCTCTTACATTTTACTATGATGGAAACACTAAGGACAGTGAGAGGAGTATAAAAAATAGCTGTCAGGTTATTTGCAGTAGTGACTCCAAAGCAACACTGCTTTTTACATTCAGAGTTTCTTTGAGGTAAGTGCTACCTGGATGAAGAAAAAAAGATAAGAAAGGACATATGAAACTGAAGAAAGATTTGTGTGAAAATTTTCAAAGGGAGTTGATTATCTTAATACTGTTGTTCTCCACCCCCTCTCATCACTCAATAGCTTTAAAACCCTGCCCAAATGTGTCTCAGCAGAAAGACTGAACTACTTCACTTCCAGTTCACTTCTCACAATGGGGTGGAAGGGTGATGTTACCAGCATCACTGCCTGTCTTATGTGGGCTTGGTTTCTGTGCTGCCAACAAAACTATGCAAAGGTTGTGTGTAGTTCTCAGGAGAAGCCTCTTGGGCTACTTTGAAAAATATTATGCCTTTATTAACAACAATTTTGTGAGTGTACTTCTGGTTCTAGGCGTAAGTCAGCAAAATTAAAGACAAAAAAAAGAAAAAGGAAAACCTGCACCCTTAAGCTCTCAGCAAGCTCCTCAGTCATAAGACAAAGTGCAGTCAGATACCTGAACAGAATATGAAAATTCCCAAGCATCAAACAAGCATTTGACATCTTTGTTAGTAAACAAACACAACACAGTTGCATTTCTTGTGCCCTTGAGCAGTAGCACAGTGTGTTCTGCCTCCCTCTCTCCCCCTTACCTTGTGTTTTGCTCTGCTCTCCTCCTCCCACCCCCGTTTCTGGCAAACTGATTCCAGAGGCCAGTGACAACACCCGTGTCCCTTTCAAGCTGAATGCATTAGTCAGGCATTGGAGAGGGCTGTTTTCCTGCCCTTGGGTATTTCAGCACGCAATGGGAAAGATGCAGGGGTTCATGGACTGCTGAGTGCTCAGCTGCTGCTCTTTCCTAAGTGAAGGCAACTAGTGAGCAACTGTAGCAATTAGAAATAAAGAAAATACTTTTCTCTGGGAAATGTTTGTTGACCCCACAGCTGTTAGGTAAAATGGAAAAAAACCAAGACAAAACTGTTGCCATAGAGAGAGAAAAAAATCTTATTTCTTTTTTTAAAGAGGCAAAACTGCCTCATCAAATTCATTGTACCATACAGAGGAAACACTGTACTTTGAAGTCATGTTTTTAAATGTCTGTTCTAACTTTATTTTTTATAGCACACAATCATTACTAATGCTTAGTGATATCTTAAGCTGTATTTATCATGTTTTTTCTTGTGAAGAACTTTGTAAAAAATTCACCATTCTTTGCAAAGTTGTTTGTTTTGTTTTGTTTTGTTTTGTTTTTTTTTTTTGACCAGGAATACAGTCAAGAGAGTTTTCCAAATAAGAAGTACAGTGCAAGTCAGATACAATGACAGAATTTTTTAGGTTGGAAAAGAATTTTAAGATCATCAAGGTCAAATGTTAACACTGCCAAGTCCACCACTAAATCATGCTCTTAAGAGCTGCATCTACATGTCTTTTAAATACCTCCAGGCATGGTGACTCAGCCTGTTCCAGTGCCTAACAAACCTTTCCATGAAGAAATTCTTCCTAATACCCAATCTAAACCATCCCTGGAGAAACACGATACTCAGAATTTCATCTCATTTGGCATTTAGAGAAAATACAAGCTGAATGCTCAGACTTGCAAGAATCCCTTGGGGTTTTTCACTGAACATGAGTCTTTTTTTTTCCCCATAGTATTTTTCCCAATTAAACTGCCTTTGGCCCCTGACTGCCATACCAAAGTACTACACTAATTTGTGGAGCCAGATCAAGCTCTGTGTTCTTGCTTCAGATTAACCGTAAACTCTACTTCTGTTTTAGGTCTGGTGTTTGTGTTGGAGCCTAATGCATCTGGATGCATTTGATTTTGATGGCAGATATGCCACTTCAGATAGAATATGATGACTGGGTAAAGCAGAAGGACTTCCTGAAAGGTTAGTTCAGTTGGAAATGATGCAGAGCAGAAGAAAAGTTCAGGTATACATGTCCTTGCAGGGCAGAAAATGGAGTGCTGAAATCAGAAAAAGCGCTGAAGCTTTAATGTGAAAGAAACATCCACACAACAAAGAGAGTCTGTGGTCTCTAGGAAGTGCCTCATGAAATCTTTCAGTCTTAATCTGTTGGATGGCTGAGGAATCAGAGAGTCTGCTACAGAGGAATGTGCTTTTTCCCAGAGGAATGTGCTTGAATTAGATGTTCTCTCCCGATGTCCCTTCCAGCAAGGCAGTTCTTCTGTCACTGCCACTGAGTTGCAAGTCAGGAAGGTCTCAGGATTACACTGAGAAGAACCCAAAATCAACACCCCATGTCTCCAAGTGCCAGCTGCCTACAAAATCTCACTAGCTACTGTGGCAGGAGTCACTACGTCCCTTTTGGCTTAGGTATGTGGCACTAGGTCCAGGGGGACACAAGTACTCTGTCCCCAGTGTTTCACTCCTGGCAATGCCAGACAGGTGGCCTATACCAGCCTTAGGAGTGCCCTGCAAACAAGTTTTGGAGCTGCAGACTAACCCATAGATGCAGCCAATAAGTACAGTAATTTGGACTAAGTTGTTGAGTTCCAGTTTGACTGCAGCTATTAAGTGATCTTCCTTCAATTCAGATTGTTCCCAAGATCCCTTTTCCTTTCATACCCTTAAAAAAGTGATCACATTATTCTTGGGCTGTTGCATATGGGCTTGAATGGAATTTAAAATGCCTGTCTGACAATGATGAATGAATCAACTCCAAATCCCTTGATATGGATCAGCTATATAGCATAACAATAATATTGTTGTTTAACATTTATATTGAAGTAATACCATGAGGAATCTCAGCCATTCAGGGACCTATTTCACTAGAAACTGAATAAAGCAAACAGCAAAATAACAAGACAAGACTGTCTAAAAGACAAGCTGTACCAGTTGAAGGAGACAAACAAAAAAAACAAGGAGCACAATGATATAAATGACAGTTGCATCTTTACAGAGCTTTAAAAAAACCTGTGTGCTGCTTAATTTTCTTGCATAGTTGATCTGCCATGTTGTTTTTAGATCTTGCTCAGCCCTTTCCACTTTCATCTTCTTTACCTGTACTGTCAAATAAACTCTTAAAACTCAGTTTTTGCTAGCAAAGTTTAGAAAACATCGCAAAAAAGAAACTGTCCAGGAAATTCCCCATGACACTTTTCTATCACGTTTGGACCATACCCTTTAGTAGCTTTTCTGTACATATCCAAGCTTAGTTGAATGAATTTATCTATGCAAGATGTTTGTGAAGCTGTCTGTCAGATTCTTTACTTAGATCTAACTGTACTGAATCTGTTACATTTCCTCCCATTTCTCACTTTGTAATGTTTTGTAAATTGTAATTGGGCTTGTCTGGAAATATATATATAAATATTCATTTATTTTTAAACAGATCCATCCTTGCTGTTGTTTGTGGTCCCCTGTGTCCTACAGAGGAAAGATTTGAAATCGTTCATTAAAGTTGGTCTAATTAATTTCTCTGGAGACCAGTGCCACAAAGTTTAGTAAAAGAAAACTTAGTCCTCTTATTTCAAGAGAGTAGAGTATTCTCTTGACTGTTTCTGAAAGTCCCATTCTTCTAGTCCGGATGACTTGTAACTAATTATCTAACATAATTTCTGTTACTTTGTGGGCCTCTGTTATAATAAACAGGTCCATGTGCTAAATTTAAATGCCAAGGGAAACTGAGGCATATATGCTATAAATTGCAAGTTGTGATAATAAGATAATTCCAAATGATAAATTATATGCTTTTAATTTTATTTTGATATGAAGAGGCTGAAACAAGACTGTACCTTGCCCAGAAATGGCACAGTAATTGGGGTAAGTACAGAATTACCTCATTTGTCCTGACTTAACATTATATCAAATTAGACAGAATTAATTTAAATCAGGGCAATGTTTGTCAAGGGCCTCAGAATAGCTGTCCTGGACTGCACAACAGGTACATCCTTGGCCATTTTAGCATCTCCCTGCAGGTAGGCTGCTGCAAACCACATTTCACACTTCTTTGGATATCCATCATCTTCCCGAGTCAGCTGGGGAAGAGTGCTGTGTCTCTGTCAAGTAACTGTAGGGTTGCTGCACAGCCAATTGTGTTCCTGGGCAATTCAAACAAAATTTTTATGGGAATGGAAAGAAGGATATTATGGTGCTGGATTACAGTGAGGGGAAAAAGCAAAACAAACTGGAAAAAAACTGAGCAGAGGAACACAAGCAAATAGTGAGAAAAATATATACATGTGCCTGTAAATTGCTAAAACTGGTTGCTGTTATTTTTTTATCAATATGTCAAAATGCATTTTGAAAAATCATGATATATGCTATTCTTGTGAAGACTGCAGTGTGGAAGAAAAATGAAATAATGGGAGAGGGGCATAAACTCCAAGAACAATTTTGTCTTTTAAAGCACATACCATATCCTGCATGTCCAAGTCTGACAGTGTAGGCTTCTCAGAGATGCCTTTTGGCCATCATAAGCCTTAGTCAGGAAAACAGGCAGTGGAGTTTGACAGAATGTGCAGAAAGGGGAAATTCTGTTATAGTTTATTGAGTGATTGATGATAATTTAAATCCAGTTCAGAAACGCTGTTATGTTCTTGAATAATTTCTTGGCTAGTCTGTTAATAAAAATGCATTGTATAATGTTATTGCTGAATTTCAAACAGATTTAATAACAAAAAGTTGCTTACTGAGGAAGAATAGAGGCTCCTCCAGAAGACGGATATATGATAGTAATTATTATGGTAATGGACTAAGCCTTGCTAATATTTGCAAAAGAGAAAGAAACACTGCAAAATCTTTACTAATTTCAGGAGTGAGTTAAGAATTTAGGAGGCACTGTCCCAGGTTTGAAAAGAGATGTCGAGCTTTTCCCCAATGCCTCCCCCGCATCTATTTCTTCCGGGGTGGGGGGCGGTTCGGCGCGAAGCCGCCCGCGCTGGGCAGCGCCGGAGCAGGGGCGGGGGGAGCGCTCCGGACGCGCGGCTGCCGCGGGGGGCAGCAGGGGGAGTTCTTTGTTCAGGGGCATTTGGGGCTGGTCCGCGGGGAGCCCGATTTCGGCCGCCTCCTTTTCTTTTCCTGAGAGGAAGTTTTTTTTCCCCCCACAGGACACCTTGCGGAGGACGACTGAGAGAGAGAGACTGACCCATCTCAGAGCGAGGTATTCTGTTTTCGGGACTGCCTGTGGGAGAAAGGACTCCTTCATGGCTGGCTGTGACACCATCGGCTGCTGGCTGCTGCGGGCGCACGGGGCTGCGAGCAGCTGTTGAACTGCCAGGACAGTCCTGCCTTCCCCCCTCCCTCACGCTCCGGATTGCTGCGGTTTTCTTCTCCCCCACCTGGGGAATTGGGACTTTGTTTTGTTTCTTCTGAAAGTTTTTGATTGCACCATTTCTTGTTTGTTCAGATTTTGTTAATAAAAAGCTGTTTTTTTCCTTTTTCACACTTCCACCTGAAGTTTTCTTAATTTCTAAGTTTCCCTGTTGATGCCTTCGTGGCAAAAGGCATTTGAGGTTAAGGACTGATGAAAATATATATCTGTGTGTATATTCTATGTGCATCTGTGTTTATGTGCTCCCATGCACACATATATGTTCAAAAGGACAACCCTAAAAGGCTGGAGTCATGTGTTGGTGAACTCTCTGGCTAGGGTATAGTCTGTAATAGGAGGAACTACAAGGGAATAACCTGCATACTCAGGTAATATCATTTACTTGGTTTCTACGGATGTGTTTTTAAGGGCACTGCTGTGCTTATGATAATTTTGGTTGTTTTTGCTTTGACAATGAATTTGTGGAACATGAATCTGTCACCTCTGTTTTTCATCTCCCTTATTTTGCCGATGTGCTGAAATATCCATAATATAAAAGTAATCAGAGAACCACAGGATCTGCAAGATAAAGTGGATGCTTACGTGTTTGTTTTGCCATCTGCTTTACTTTGGACAAAATATCTGTGTATTCAATCCAAAACAACAGTATGCATTTCTTTTATTATATGTGCATGCTGCCTTTCTCATATTTAATCACATTTTTGTTATTTTATTACAACTCTACAGATACGAATTAGGAAAAGTCCTCTAGGAAATTTTTAACACCTGTCTGCTGCCTTAAGTATTGTTTACAAAACTCAGAAAGCTGTGAAACTTTATTTTGTTGAAGAGATCCTTATTATTTTAAAGTGCTATACTGTCATTGTGCTTCTATTTTTTGAGGAAGGTGTTGAAATCAAAGGGAATTCTGGCTACTACTGCATCTAATTACTACAAGTTAAGTGACAGTTGTTGCAGCAACAGAAAGGGAAATTTTTTTTTTTTTAATTTTTTTTTAATGAAAATATTTCCCTGTTGAAACCCAGTTGCTAGTGGCTAGTTTTAAAACTGATAATTTCATTTGGCTACACTCCATCAACAACAAGGAAAACACCTGGCAAGCTGCTTCATCCCCGCCAACTCTTGTTGAACTTCAGGCCTTCTCAGTAACTATCAGCAGGTATCAAGTCAGTGCTACCAATAAACTGGCATTAGAACTTCCACCTGCTAATAGCACCTTATTGCTTTTCAGAGTTACATAAAAGGAAATGATCTGTTTAATTACAGTTGAAGAAATTTTGCAGTTCTGTGCTGCCTTGGATAGTGACAGTAATACTGGAATGTATTTAAGGACATGGCTACATGAACTGGTTGCTGTAGGAGTAAGTCAGAATGGCAGCTATTGTATCCTAACCTTTTGCTTGGAATAAGTGTGATACATCTTATTCTTAAGTGAAGGCAAGATAAAATTCAAAAATATGTGTAGGCAGTTGTAAGCAAGGTTGTATCCATGGAATTTTTTCTTCTCATCGATCATTCCTTTCTCCCCTCAATCATTCCACTTTCTTGGGAATTCTTTGCTTGTTTGCTTCCCTCCCTGTGAGCAAACAGGCAGTGTATAAATCAGTTATCTTTTCCTAAATGAAGTTGTGTCAGGCCAATTAAGACTTTAATAAACACTACAAAGCCAGGGGAGGTTCAGCTGAAATTTTCCTTTCTTGAAGTGGTAGGACATTCAACTAATTTTCAGTGTTGTTCTGCCTTCTTCTGCCCTTGCTGTTGAAGAAGGCTGGTCCCTCACATCCAAGTCCCCCACCAGCTCTTGCACACACTGACCAAGGCCTTTCTTTGTGACTGTAATATATCATTGCATCTGTGTTCTATAGACTGAAGAGCTGTAAGAGGGCCTGATACCACTTTCCAGAAGAAGAAGCATCTGGGTAAAACATTGCTGAACCCCCTGAGATGTCTGCAGACAAAAGAGTAAAGGAAGACCCTTTAATATTTGTTTCTCACTCCCTGTACCAGCCATTATAACACTGCTTTTTACTGTAACTGTGTAGTATACTTTTTTTACAATGGGTTCTGTGGAGGTCTTATTGATTTTAACACCTGCCTGAACAACTGTTCATCTGGAGTTTTTCTTGCATTAAAGGATGTTTATTCCAGAGATTTCCAGAGCGCTTTAAGCAAAATAAAAAGCTCAATTCAGCTTCAAATTTCCTTCATGTCATAGGAACATAAGAAGTTTCTTTCCCCATGCCTCCCTCCTTTTTTTCCCCCTTTTACTTAAGTAACTGGAACACACAGCAGGTGACCTGTCCTACTAAGTATATTTTCTTCTAGGTCAAAGAGGAAGTCTGTGGCAGACCTGAAAAAAGACTGAAGAGGTGCTTTTAGCAACAAATCAATCCTGTTCTGCTGTTCTTTGTGCAGCAATGAAGCTGGGGAAAGGTATGGCCAAGTAGCTGGCATTTTTATTTTATTAAGAGTGTGTTCTTCTGTTCTGATTTTTTTGTCTAACTTTTCAGGAACATATGGAACAAAAAAACCTGGGGGAGCAAAAGCCTTGCCTGGAATTCCCGTATGTGGGAGATGGGCTGAGTTAGTATTTCTGTCTTTCAGTCATGGATGTTTCTTTGTTTCATTTTCCAATTCTAACCCAGATACCTTGAATATTTTAGGAAATATTAGCTGGATATTGAAGCATCAGTAATGCACTATAGCCCCTGTGGAGATCTGTTTTGGATTTTTGGAGTATTTTGGAAGAAGGAGTACAAATACCATGTCCTTAATTTTATTGTAAATGGAAGAAGTAATGCCCTACTGGAAGCTGATCTGGTTCCAATGCAACCACCACTTTCAGCAGAAAGGGATTTCATATCAATATGACAAGCTACCTGAACTCCAACAGTTTTAATAGCTTGAAACATAAATATCAAAATTAAGATTATCCTTTTAAAAAGAAGTGTACTGCAGCAGCACTTTGCCTTTAATTACCTAGTGGAATGTTTAATGTGTGTGAATGTTTGGACCAGCAAGCTCATGAATGGCGTTGTAAGTAGAACAAGGAGATATATTATAGCCCTTGAACTGGCCACAGGTCAGTGAGTTAACAGTTCCCACAACAGGCTCCACCACATCATTACTTCCAGGTGGAGAAATGAAGACTCAAAGGGAGGAACTGTAAACTCAATTCATGTCAACTCTGTTTCAAGAACTCTCATTATTTATTTCTCCTCCAAGCCTTGGCTGGGTTGGCAGCATTATGCAGCATTACGTGGTGAACTGTTGAGAGGCAGTATCTCCTAAGACAATAAATCTTTAAGGGAAAAAGCAAAGCATTAATGCTATACATGCTGTTTGAGTGTGTGAAGCTTTGCTCTTTTTTATTCTGTTTTGCAGAAAACCTCTTGTTGGGAATGCTTATACAACTGGCATCCTGCTTTTAAAAAGAAAAGGTTTTTCTTAGCCCCTTTTTTGATGAAAAAGTAGGCAGAGTATGTTTCTGGTAGGGGACCAGAAGGAATGGTGTGGACAGAGGAATAAAAGGCCGCAATAAACTTCATGATATCTTATGTTACATTGTTTGTATGGCAACAGTTTCTAGTGAAACAGATTCAACACAAAACCATTGCATGGTGAACATTTGCCTTTCTGAAGGTCATCAGGTTATGACAAATGAGATAAATAGTCTCAAATTTGCAGGGGTAGCTGTGTGCCTATAGCCTAATGAAGATTTTAATTGTTTTAGTCAGTATCAGTAGAACTAAGATATGCTATTCTGAAAAGTATCCGTATGAGTCATCTCTTAGACTGATGTTTTAGTACAAGCAGTTACAGAACTGCAAGTTTGCACATTCTGATGTGACTCATGTTGGGAAATCAGTTTTGTAACTCTTAATTTTTCATAGCATGTCCTCTCTCATATTAATGTTTCTTTTGTGGGGAAATTTCTAATTTTTCTTCATGGTCACATGCCCTCCCTCCTGATTCTGGAAGCAGCTCATAGCACACAGATACAAAACCTGAAGTCAGTCTTTGCGAGCCTGTATCTGTTGAGCTTGACTCCTTACCTTTCTCTTTGAGTCTTGTGTACCTTCATCCCAGTTGGGACATAACTCTTTCTTCAAGAGATTCAAGGAGAGAAAACTTGTTTATTCTGTTTGGATATTTTTGCCCTGCTATTACTGAAAATAGGGCAAGACTTTGGAGAAAACAGTATAGTACAAATCCAACTGGAGATAAAAGGAAATGAAGTGTCTGCCTGTCACTGTTGGTATAAAAATCCTACAGGTGTAAATTTGGAGCCTGCAGAAAACAAAGACATGATATTTCCGGTACAGTTGGCATCTCCCACGTATTGTAGACACCTCCTATTGTGGCATTCTTTATGGCATAACTCACTGGTACAGACTTTGTTCTTCTTTTTGAAAATAGCTAAGACAGTTCTATTTAGTGTCAGTATCAGATAGACTAAAAAACAACTGGCATGGAAGAAAAAGCCCAGGATCCAGGGAAACAACAACAAAAAAAAGCTGCACTTTGATGCTGTTGACTCTTACACTGAGAGTTTTCTGCTTTCCCTTTTCTGTAAGAAAGAAAATAATAGCTGGGACTGTGTGGGATTTAGGGTTTAAACATGTTTTTTGGTGGAAATCATTTATTTTACCAAGCTAAAACTTGGGTACTCCAGGCTTGGCAGACAAATCCCACAAAGCCCCTGCCCACAGTCTGGGGACTGACCAGGGATCAGGATTTGGTCAAAGCCTCCAACCAGAGAGCTTCTGTTTGAAAAGATGAGTGGGAACCTTTCCTTAAAAACTTTTCTCTTACATGTATTTTTTAACCCCTCAGTAATTAGAAACAAAAACTCTTGCTGAAAGAAACCGTCTCTGGAATTCACACTTTTAACAGCAGTTCCATTACTGAAGAACTCTTTTGGTGGTACCTTCGGTGTTGTGTTCCTCTCTGTGTGTGATGGGAAATGCCAATGGCCTGTTGTGACATGGGTCCTGATCTCCTTCGAAAGTGCTCCTGTTTGAAAAACTGGTGGAGAGACCAGCCTTTTTTTCCCCAGAGGTTACTGGGATACACTGAAAATTAATAA